GCATGTTTATAGCTTAATGGGCCTAATGTATTGAAGACAAAATTTTAGAAATGATTAGTGACAAGCTTCAAGTATAAAGATAAACATTTGCATTAACACTTACTGAAAACATATATGATTGCATGCAGACATCATCCTTATTCTAGTTGCAAGCTATTTCGTATTAAAATAAGGAGCAGATACAATAACATCATATTATTACGTTATGGCATATAATCATACAATAACTAAAAAATATCATTTACACTTGACATTCTTTTAGGGACACTGTCAGTTGTTGACTCAAAACTTAATTCATTTACTAACATATATATCTATTACGGGACTCAGCTGAATTTAAAATACTCATTTGAATATTCGAAATAGCAAATATTCAACTAATTTCTCTAGGCGACGGGATTGTGGTATTGCGTGACACTTTAATTTTGTACAAGGTTCTCCAAGAAATGTCAAACTTTCTGATTTAAAAGTACTCGTGGTGTTTCTTTTCGTTCTGGTCTAGTTACCTAACTACTTCTACTCCTAAAAAGGTTCTTGCGTAGGTCTCAGGCTTTTTTTATAATTTGAAACATAACTTTGACAAATCGATACTTTATATCGCAATTAGTTTATCAAGAACAAAGACATTTTGATTTAAATTACGATATACACCCGCAGCATTTTTCTGTGTTTTCGAAAGGCCTTTCTAATCAAGACATTTTAGTTGTTTCATATAATATTTGTGTACTGGTTATTTACGTGGTAACTTTGCCTGACTGGCAGTTGTTACTCTTAAATTAAAGACACCGTATGAATAATGTATTATTGTTTCGTTATTCATGTATTCTGACGAGAGCGAAAGTACATTCACTATGATCTATTTACTCAGAATTGTTAACCTTCATTTGGACCTCATTATTTGATGAATCTTGCTTAAGGACTAATTTCATTTACTTGAATGAAGATTTTAGAAAGCTAGTAAACTGAATATTTGTATAGGAAATGAAAGGTAATTTTACGCTATCAAAACATGCGTTATGACACTGACAATAAAATGATTTGGAAATGGTAGCAAAAGTTATTATATATATATTAATGATTGCGAAATTCTAAACAATATGATATCTATCAAGGTATACGCATGTGTATATAAAGAGGTACGTTCTATTTCTGATCAGTTTTATTAAAGCTGCATGCATCCAGTTGAGAAAAAATATTTCAGGAAAATTAAACTTGAAAGCATGTTATAAGATTTAAAGAAAGGAAAATGATTCAAGATTTAACTAATGATTTACATGTTATGTGCAATTATTTACAGATTTTACATCATATATATACTGCGTGACTATGTATGGCCGTAAGGGCTTTTTTGCATATTTTGACTTCTTTTGTTGATTGTAAGTGTCGTTTGCAATGTGTTAATCAATTTCTTTGTTCACTTTTATTTTTCAATAATCACATTACATACAGTTTTTGAGATAAATGTATTGTCAGCCATTAATACGCTCGATAGTTTAAAGTGGATTAGTCTATAATGGGCACGTATACCCACGAGTATTTCAGATGCTGATGATAACAATATAAATCTATCATTCGGATATGCTAATAAAATATTTTTGGAAAACAAAATGTGTGTAGTTTTGAAGTAATCCGGTATAAACATTTATTTGATGATTTATTTTTCTTAAACACTTTATTATTAACTATATTTTTATATAATATATCTTACACTTGCCAACAGCATGTGTAGGCTTTTAGACCTCAGAGAAGTTCCTATAAGGCCTGTAAAATATTATATAGAAAAACACATGCATAGGAAATTGTCAAACTCGTCTGCTTAGAGCTAAGACATTTTTTATATTGATATCTTAGGTAGACGTCTACAAAGTTTATATAAAACATGAACAGAAAGATTCGAAGTCCAAAACATCACCATCGCACAATATAATATACTATCGGTAAAAACACAGAAGGGAAACGAGTAAAAAGAGGGTACATGAGCGTAACAAAAAAGTAGCCTATGACTAATAGCTAATTATTTACAATTTAATTAATAGGGACATCACAGGAAGTATATTTACTAATTAAAAAAAAGGACGGAATCGAGAAAGCAAGCCCCTAGGGTAACATATATAAAATGATGATTATGTGACTTCCTTTTTGTTGGTTTTACTTGTTCACTACAGTTTTCGTCATGATATCAAAGATTGACAATTGATGAATTTGAATGAGACCTGATTAATTCTAGCAATAGATGAGCCATTTATCTATATCATGACCTTGTAAAGCAAATACATTAATAATAAGGAAACAGAAGTCTGAAAAGGTTTAGAGGTTCGGTTCGTATTATTTTTAGGTATACAGGGTAGTTCCTTTGAAAAGATTTAAATGTCATTATAGATTATTAAGCTGTTGTTAACGTGTGATGCTTTTTAAAATTATTGGGGGAGGAAATTTATATAAAATGAATTGTTAGTAAAATTGATGAAAATTGCACATATGGTAAGCATCTACTCTAAAACAACACATCCTTGAATTGGCCTTAGCCAAGACTATTGGACTTAATGATTAGAAAATGCGTATGTGTAATTCTGGTTTCTAATTCACACGAATTTCATACAAAATGTTCTTATTGCTTGCTGATTGATATTATGCATAGGTTTCAGGATACATGCATTTTTAATAGAATGACACGGAAGTTTCACTTTGAAATTTCCATGTTGAGCACATTTAAAATGTTTTTTAATTAATATACCTTCAATGTTTTTTAATTAATATACCTTCAATATTATTTTATTTTTCCCGTCCATAGTTGCCCCGCCGTTTTACAATGAAATTGCAAGACTGTCGCATTTAAAGATCCTGTAACTCATTTTTGTATAGTTTTATATCATAAATATAATGCTCAAATGAAGATTTGTCAATATTTTGTGGTAAAAAAAGCATTATTTGTAGAGGTATTACCGAACTTACATTTCATGTTAATATAGGGAGGTAATTAGAAATGTATTTTCTATAAAGTCTGAGTCAAAATTTCCTATAACAAATGAATGCATATATTTTAATGACGACATATAATAAGGACAAATATTTGCAGTATATATTTTACATATTTTCCGATGTTTGAAAACTGTTTTGGAAGCATAATTATATACATATATAAATTTTCTCTTAATTGTGGTTACAACCTTAATTACGACATACAGGATCTATCGTATAAACCCATGGATAGTTCTACATGAATATAATATTTAAATGACACCATTAAACCGGCGCTAGAGGTCGTGGACGGTAGCTTGTACTTATCATTACCTTCAATGAACAAACTCAATCAAACCTAGCCTGCAACATCTTTTTAGTTTTGCCGTTTCGGAGTGTTAGGCACTCAGCTGTTTCTGTTTTAAACTCACATAGACAATAACATAATCAGCCTAGACAGCATCATCTCACGAACTATTATGATTATCAGTATTTTAAAGATCTTTTAAATGTACTGTATTTAATGCTGATTTACTTGCCTTTTTAAAGGCATTAAAGAGTCAGTTAGATTATTTTGAAATACATTCTGACAATATGTGCAATATGAAGAAACAGCCGATAATCCTAGCTATCCAGATGGCGTTTATAATTTTCAATTAGAAACATTGCATTGATTATCACGGTTTCGTTATCCCATCAGAGAATCATTTGACTTTCTTTTTTCACCAAGCAAAGGTTATAAAGTCATATTATATTGTTCATATGTTTTTAAGTTCAAACCAGTGGGGGAACACATTAAACACTAAAAACAGAGAACAGCACACGCTTTACTTTATTAAAACAAAATCTTTATTCTTTCTATCTAAGATGAATATTGTTTGCATATAAAGCCGAACAAAAGTTGTTTATGTGAAACAAATACATCATTAACATCAAAATTCATGACACAGAATAAACAATCCCGAATAGTAAAGCTATTTCTTTTTAGTTCAATGACATGAGGAAACCGTATTAAATGTGTTAATATCAAGGTTGAATAAAGTAAGAAAAACGTAGACATAAAAACTAAAAGCAATTCTGATGCCAAGTTGTGAATAATATAGAAAAGAAGATATATTTAAAAATCATTTCGTATAATTTACTGCACTGATACATGAATTTAGGGATAACTAAAGGAATAAATAAAAGTTTGTAATCGGTCCTGATGTTCAGATTTGTTAAAATTGTAAATATTGCCTAGATTGTACACGCGTAAAACAAAGCTTCAATATGTGCATGATAAACCTTAGTACTCAAAGACTACAATTGAATTGAACTTGGATTCGTATGCATGCTTCTTATTTACATGTTGTCTTACATATTCATAAGTATAAGAGTTACAACAGAGCGTCACTTCTTTGTAGGTGTTTCTTTGTCAAAAAGACAAGAAACTTGTAAATTAACACCTTGAATATGTCAGCATATCTTCCTGCGCATTGTTCAATCATAGTTTTGTCAAAGTATATGTTAATGTCACATTGCTTTTTAGACAACATTTTTTTATGATTTAGCTTTTCTTTTCTTGTTTTTTTTTATCTTTCCACATTTATCAAAATATATAAAAATGCATAACAATATGTTGTAATATATCGTATATATATTACAGAATTAGCATCTATCATTAGTCTAATAATGTTAAACAAAACTGCCAATTTTTTAAATGCCTGACGTTTTTAAAGGCCAAGCATGTGTTCTATAATATTGTAGTTATGGGTAAAAAGGACTTTGAAAATAGCATGATTGTGATTTTATTTTGTGAAAAAGTAGCAAAATGTAAACAAACTGGTATTTTGACTTTCATACAAAATACTATTTATCTGGACAACAATTGTAAAAAGGCACAAAAAGTAAAAAGCTTTTGAAAATAAAAAAGATAGCATGTGTGTAGCTTAATGGGCCTTAATGTATTGAAGACAAAGTTTTAGATATAATTTTTGACAAACTTCAAGAAGAAACAGGTTATTGCTGATAAACATTTGCATTACCACTTACTGGAAACCTACATGGTTGCCCGCAAATACCATCCTTATTCTAGTTGTAAGCTATTTCGTTTTAAAGATAATGATTAGACCCGTGGCGTCATAATGTCCTAATAATAATTATCAAGTAAAATCACTCAATAACACTAAATTCTATATCGTTCCGTTCATATGTGCATACAATAACAAAATATTATCATTTACACTTATTAATTTGGGTAAATTCTGATATGAACACTGTCAGTTGTTGACTCAAAACTTAAGTTATGTAATAACATATAATTATATGTATTACGGAACTCAGCTGATTTTAAAAGACTCATTTGAATATTCGAAATAGTAAATTTTGATCAACTTATTCCTCTTGGCGACGGGATTGTTGTATTGCGTGACACTTTAATTTTGTACGTCCAATGCCGAGAAATGTCAAACTTTCTGATTTAAAAGTACTCGTGGTGTTTCTTTTCGCTCTGGTCTAGTTCAACTACTTCTACTTCTAAAATATTCTCACTTAGATCTCATGTCTTTTACAATTTGAAACATAACTTTGACAAATCGATATTTTATTGCAACTAGTCTGTCAAGGACAAATTTTGATTTCAATGATAGTATACTCCCAAAGTACGCTGTGTTCGAAAACCTTTTCATGTAAATAAAGATCCTTGAAATGTTTCATATAATATTTACGTATTGGTTATTTACTTGTTTACTTTGCCTGACTGACAGTTGTTATTCGTAAATTCACTTGAAGATTTTGTTGATAGTCCTGGTGTAGTTAAGATTGCCAAATGTAGTGTGCATGATTACCATAGTCCAAATCGTGCTCATGAAAATTATAACCAGGCATCTGTTTATATCAATTCAAACGACAGCACTGAGATCTCAAGCGAATCGTCAGCAAAAACCACAAATGTTGGTGACAATGTAACCGCGCCTGAAGTCTGTGTCTCTCAACTTGAAGTATATCTAAATCAAAAAGAGAAACAATCTATTTCTAATTACCCACAGCAGAAACAGCCCAAAACCCGCTCGTACAGTATACCCTCCCGACAAAGTGATTATAGTGCAGAGAAAAATACTAATAATAAATCTTCAAACCAAAATGTGCCTTCATTAAGACCAGCAATCATTAACAATAGTAGTACGATCACGGCGGATATAGAGAAAAACGTGCAGAGCAAAAGTCAACTGTGTACAAATCGTGCTTCAACGTTTCCTAAAATGACCGCAATACCTGTGCGTGTTACATCTCGCAAAGAGCGAGACTTGCGACAATATGATACTTTTGATTGGCACCAAACAAGTCCGACGAAAAGGTATTTTGTTGGTGGATTTAATAAATCGGTGTCAATTAAATACCTGACTAATTTTGTGACAAGCAGGGGCGCAACGGTGACAATGATTCGTAAATTCCCAATGAGGAAATCGAGAAATAAAGTTATTGTCCGTTTAAATGTGGAAGCCAATGAAAACGCGGATTTAGTCTTAGATCCAGGATTTTGGCCAAAAGGTATAACTTGTGAAACTTGGATGTCACGTGCAGAAATCCAACAGAAGAATCTATATGGGAACGAGGCTTTAACGCACCGAAGCAGACGACATCAGGATATGGTGATTGGCGCGAAACCGATAACGATTGATTGGCCCCCATTTAGTGACTTTAATAAGTATAGCACGTTAACACCCGACGAAGACTTATGATGAGCTCTAATATTGATCTTAAAATAATGACTTGGAACGCTACTGGCGTAATGTCGTCTGCATCTTATCTCTGTGATACATTGTTAAACTATAATATAGATATATGTGGACTGTCAGAACATTGGCTTTATGAACATAATTTATTCTTTCTAAATTCTTTGACTAGTGAATATAGATGTCATGCAATTTCAGACTATAGTTTAGCATTACCTAGTAATCGAAAAATAGGTAAAGGTGGTGTAGCTATTCTTTGGCATAAAAGACTCGATATGCGTGTAACACCATTGCCTTTAGACGATGATCGTATTATTGGTATACAGGTACAAATACAACCTGATTTATATATGTTCGTATTTCAGTTATATCTACCATGTTCTAACCACTCTATTGAGTCATTTAGACGTTATATTGACAAACTATATAACTTATGGTTTATGTATAGAGAAAGTGGTATACCAATTTTCATAGGTGATGTTAATACTGATGTTAAAACTGATAGCAGTAGCACCAGAGAACAGCTATTTTGTAATTTTTTGTATAATACTAATTATCTTTCTTTAAACAAACTAGACAGTTGTAAAGGAGCTAAGTACTCATATGTTTCTTATGATGATCGTTACTTTTCACTCATTGATCATATATGTATGCCAGTTGAAACTATAGATTATGTAAAATGCTGTGAAATTCTTGATGATGATGCCCTCAACGTTTCCCGCCATAGGCCTATAGTTACATCACTAGAATTTACTACGAACAGCAATTTAAGTGACACAAGGCTGAAAGTTGTAGAAACTGTATCCAAAATAAACTGGAAAGGAGTCAAAGAGAGTGACAAAGATGATTATGTATCTGCTATTAAAGCCAAAAGTGAATTGCTTCGACTGAAACATTGTGAGTTAAATCGGTCAGATGTCGATAATGCATATACGACCGTTATTAAGGCAATAACAGAGTCATCCGCATGTCTCCCGGTATCAAAGTACAAACAATACCTTAAACCCTACTGGAGTATTGAACTTGGGAACGCGCACACTCATATGAAAGAAAAACGTAGATTGTGGTGTCGGGAAGGTCGGCCCCGAGATATAACAAACCTCTTTTATATTGAGTATAAAAATGCCAAACGTGACTTTAAACGCTTGAATAATTACCATGTGAATCAGTATCTTAGACAATTAGATCATGAAATTGACAAAACAGCCGAGGCGGATTCCGATAAATCCTGGAAAATTGTTAATTCTCGTAAAAATTCAACAAAATGCTCATCAGGAGCTGGAATAAAATTTAATGACACTATTTACAGGGATAAACAAGACTTAACAGAACAATGGGGACTCTACTTTAAAGACCTGTATTCGCCGTCTGTAAATGCTGACTTTGACGCGGATTGGTACCAACATGTAAACAGTACCTTACAATCAACAAAAGAAACTATTTCCCCGGATGTATCTACTACTGTTCTGCCGCAAACAGTGAGCGAATTGATTCTATCATGTCCGAAAGGGAAAGCTTGTGGTCACGATAATGTGTATTATGAACATCTCATCTTAGCACGTGATATTCTCTCTCCTATACTTGCCAACATTTTTTCATATATGCTGAGATTATCATACATACCAGATGAAATGAAAAAGGGAATCATAATAACATTGCATAAAGGAGGAAAGAAACGAAAAGACGATCCCAACAATTATAGGGCAATATCATTAACATCAACAATCCTGAAAGTGTTTGAAATGGTTGTTATGAGTCGATGTAAAGAACACCTCACGTCAAAATTGAATGTCCAACAAGGAGGGTTTCAGGAGCAGTTAGGTTGCCTAATGACGTCATTTGTTTTACGCGAATGTGTGCATTATTCTCGAGAATACAACAGCAAACTATACGTGTGTTTTTTAGACGGACGTCAGGCTTTTGACCGAGTCTGGCATGATGGAATATTGTATAAGCTGATAGAGGCTTGTGTCGATGACACATCATTATTAGCATTTAAAGAAATTTACCGGAATATTTTTAGTTATGTCCGGAATCAGGGATATATATCAGACATTTTCCCAATTTTGCAAGGAACCAGACAAGGAAGTAAAAGCTCACCAATGCTTTATCTTCTTTATATAAATGGACTTATTAATGAAATTGAATCAAGTGGACTTGTTTTCTGCATGTACAACTCGAATATATCTTCACCAACAGTAGCAGACGATATGGTACTAGTATCATTTTCAAAGCATGGACTGGACATGATGTTATCAATTTGTAACAGATATTCATTAAAGTGGCGTTTCGAGTACAATGCCAATAAATGCGGCATAATTGTATTCAATGAAGTAAACTCGGAAAATCTCCAAAGAATATGGACACTTGGTACACAAACGATCCATGAGGTAGACAACTATACTCATCTTGGAATTGACTGTAATAGATTTTTGCAACTAAAAAAATCAATAGAAGACGCAAGTGTAAACTTGCGTGGTACCTATTTTAGTATTACAAACAGTGGTCTTCATCCTAACGGTTTATCTCCTATTACTTTTAAAACAATTTATTCTTCAATAATATTGCCTAGAGCTCTCTATGGCTGTGAGTTATGGATTAATTATACAGACAGTGATATTGAAAATCTGGAAAAATCGCATCGGTTCTGTCTAAAAACTATTTAGTCATTTGCAATGAGCACAAGCACGCAATACACCTTAGCTGCATTGGACATGAATTCAATAGAAATCAATGTCGAATTTAGGAAACTGACGTTTCTAGGGCAGTTTTGCCGCCTTCCATGTAGATACTTGGCAAAGAAAGTATTCCTCAATCGGTTATTTAGTTTTCTAAACAACGACAGGCAATATGTTGGCTTTATACCGGATTCCTACAAACTGTTACAAAAATATAACCTCCTGACTGTGTTAAACAACTTCGTAATAACTGGTGAATTTCCGTCAAAAAATGTTTGGAAAAACATGTTACATAAACAAGTACTTATAGCATCGAAACAAGGTAGAACAGAGGCTTTATTGCAACAAAGACCGGGCGCAGTGAATTACTTACCAACACCTTGTAATACATCTGAACTATGGTCAATTACCATAAGTGCACCAGAGTTACGTCCCATGTGCTATGTAGTAGCGTCAGTTATAGGGGAAACAGTCTCCAGGAGATATACTGAACTTTGCCCATTGTGCTCAATATTATGTGAAAATTTACTTGATTATATTATGAACTTTTGCCTGAAATTACTTACACCGCGTACATCCATGTGGAACTATATCATAAATTCTCGCGGAATTTACTTCTATATTAGGTGGATAATGTTGACACGCGAGTGCCAACTTGACGAAATCCTCACTATAACACTAGAAAATACGAGAGATGGACAGTTCACCCCACTTAGAGTTATGTATTTACTGTTTAAAGATGTCTTTAAATATAATCAGTAGTTTTATTTGTTCAAAATAATGCATTATAAATATGTGATTGAAAGAAACTGAATGTCATTCAGTATAGGTAAAACACGGGATTGACACAATTGTGTAGAACTAATGATACAAATGTATATTTAATTATTCAGTGACGTAGAAAATGAAACAATCATATTGTTACGGCGTTTTACCTTCAATTTATGTATGTGCACACACGTATGAGTCGTTGTTATTGTTTATATGTTTGTTTGCTTGTTGTTTTCCCCATTCCTGTTGCATAAGATTGTTCTATATTGTAAACTAACTCATAGCAATATGTATGTATACGTACTTAAGTTAATCATAATATTGTAAGCCAAATCTTTATATAAATAGATTATACTTCATATCACTACAATGAACAAAGATATTTCTGATCTTGTATTTTGAGTCTGTATGTTTTCGGCAAGATGAGATTTGATATCAATACAATTAAATATTAAACTATCTGAAAAGTATTCTACAACATTAGAATCAGTAATCAAGTTGAAACAGGTTTAATAATCTGTTTAAAAAAGTACAATAGAAAATGTATTTCTAGTTGAGGTCTCTTGTTAACTTTCGTTTCGAACAAGATTGTCTCACATATAGAACGAAATTTTAATTCTTTCTTAATATATATCATATATTTTTGGATGAATATTTACCAATAATATCAAGAGCAAGACTGAAAATTATTATATGTACTCCACAGAATAATTACAAGCATTCTGACAAATTCTTTAAAGCTGTTATACAGAGCTGACATTTCTATCCTTTATTCAATCAATCAATAATTATCTATGTGTCTGTTATTATAGCTTACATATTTATCTATTTACCTTAAATATGAGTAAGCTTCTAGAAATATTGATTTCTGAATTGCTGTTTTCTGTAAATTGATATTGCTTTATGTTTACAGTTATATATTTGACTACATGTTATTATTGTATCTAGCTGTTAAACTGTTTTGTTAATTTTTGTAGTTATATGTTTGTATATATGTTCAGCTCTTCATGTACATTGAAGGAAATAAAGTATCTATCTATTTATAATGTATTTTGGTTTTCCCTTTTTTTGTTTGATAGCAAAAGACATTTTCCTGAAACTAAAATTTTTCAGAATTTTTACCTTTAACTGTATTTTCATTAAAAAATTTAAAAATTTTGCGATTTTTCTGGTTTTAAAAATATTTTCTTTTTCTTTAAAAGAAAGTTTAGTTGGCGTGTAAAACAGAAATTTTTTATATAGTTAATCAAAATTAATTCTGTATAACAAGGCCCCCATTTAATTTGAAAGTATCACCCACGCCTAGCTAGGTTTTATGTACATAAACAAAAATAAGTTTTTTATATTTTAAATTTACTTTTTTACAGTGCATGCCTTTTTGAAAAGGGCCCAAATATTTTTAGAAAAATTAAAATTTGTTAAGATTAAGTAAAATTTTTTATTTTTTTTGTGCAAAATTTGTGCGTTTTATCACCCCATTTCTAAATTAAAGATAAACGCAGCCAGAATATTTTTTTGCATATTTTGACCTTTTATTCTTTTAGTAATTTACGCGGATTCTAAGAGCCGTTTGCTATGTGTATTACTTTCTTCGTTCACTTTTACCGTTCAATAAATTTGCAGAATTTCCACAAAAATAAGCATGAATCTTAATAGGAATGTTGCTTAGTTATATATAGACAAAATGGAAACTTTATTTTGAAAAAGAAAATAAACACGAAAATTTCCATTTTAATTGAATTGGTACGTATACGTTTTTTTTATATTCAATTATCTTATAAATTTAGGGAGATTTTCTTTATTTGATAGTGAAAACGCAGTGACTAATAGATTATTATGGTAGTACAATAAGTTGGCACTAAATTAATAATATTACCTATTTCAAAATTTTACGGATGATCTATATCTACATTCATATACACAGATGTCCAGAGTGTGAATAGTAGCTTGTATTTCCCATTAATGTTGTTGACCAGTTTCAACCAACGCATGTCTGTTGCATGTTTAATTCCGATCTTTATAGTTCTTGTATGTCTTTTTTTTAAATACATGTATAATTGTTTCACAATAACGTTACAAATGTACATATATCATTTATGAGAGTTTTGCCCACTTTCAGTGAAAGGTTCCGATGTATCTGACTTAAATTGTAGTAAACGATTAATAAGTTTAAACTATTCCTTGATTACTTATGAGAGGGCAAAACCTAAATACTGTTTCAAATGTCATTTTCTAATACATTTGCAAATTAGAATGTATGTATGGTTTTTTATTGTTCTATTGGTCATTTTTCATATGTATTGATGTGTTTGCAATAAATCAATAAAAGATGATGAATTATAATTTGAACAGCAAATTCGAAAGGAAATATCAAGTTTTATACTGAAATTAAATCTTATGCTTAAAATAGTAAGAAATAATCTTTGTCTGCAATATACACATTTAATTTTGTTTTAATTTTAGCAATCAATGTTATTTTTATATAAATATCTTATTGCACTGTTTGACAGTACTAGATCATTTGCCGCCATATTGTTAGTGCAAATGACATTTGTATTAATTCAAGAAGACTTCTGATTGCAGTATATAAGATTTATTTACGTATTCAAAGTAATTAGGTTTGGCAAATTAGTTCTCTATCGTCTTTAAAGCAGCTGATGCGAATGAAAAGTAGGACGTCATGTCATTTCCATAAAAGATCAAATGGCTAATCCGATTTTCTTTAATATGGGAAAAACTGGTATAGAACGTACTTTTTCATATATATTTCCAATACGTTCAATTTATTTTAGGACATAACGATTCTTCTATCATTATACCTATTATACATTAATAGTAAATTTGTAGTATTTGAAACAAATGTTCAAACGACCAAACGTTGGGATTTTTAATCCGTCTGTCAAATATGATATTTCATTTCAATAGGTGGTGTAAAATGTAATGATTTATTTATTTTAAATGTAAAAGATGAAAACAAAGGTCAACTGGGAAGAATGCGGCTTTCAATGAACGAACCCACCAACACAGGGCTGCCGACAAGGAGTGTAGCAGATCACCTACAAAAGAGGGTAGAGTATGGCTAAAGTTTGGTGGAGTAATGTAAACCTATAAGCATATATATTTATATTAAACTCCTTTTGCAATGCAAAATAATTAGATAATAAAATGCGATGATCGGACGATCAAAATAGCCCAAGTTTGTTTTTCAGTTCAGGTTGATTGAATATTATAAAGAAAGAATCTTTACGGCATTCTCTGAAGTCTAAATGGTTGCATACCAAAGCAATACAAAAGCTTAAGGGCATTTAATTGTTCTACAATTCAAATACATAAAGAATTCTTTTCAGGCTTTTTTATATATCTATTTATTATTTCATATTTGGATATTCAGAAGTATGTGGTCGGGAGAGTAGGTGTTAGGAAATATTTACCATTTCATGTATAAAATTATTATAATGTTCGGAGGGGTCCCTAAATGGTTCAATTTTTATATCCAATATTGTTTGTGTCGTGTGATAGGCCGTAGCCAGAAAAATCATTTTTCCTATCCTTGAATACCAGGTAAGCAATACCTTAAGACATTCTTGTCTTGTATGATTTTCTTCTTTCTTTCAATTTCAGTTCTAATCGATTGGAGAATAAAACATTCCTATATTCTTAATAAAAGTTGACTTTGCGAGTATGAGAATAATCGACAAAGTTGATGCAATTAGGATAGTGATTAAGCTGAAAATTAGTAATAAATTCAGTCATTTGAAATGCACGCTCACACTTTATTTGTCGCCAATTAGGGAATTTGAAAGCAAAAATAATGCAATGGAGTTTTTTCCATATCTTTACAAAAAACTGTTTATAGCTTTGGAATAGCAAAGAAAATAAACTGACATTCTCATGGAAGAGAACGATCATTACCCTTTTCTGTGGAAACAAAGTGATCCCTCAGAAGCATTAATGAAAGACTGATTAAGACAT